AGTGAGAACGATACATGTACACACAGTGTTGTTCTTCTCGAGGCTGTTTTACGCACAGAGCTAGCTCCACGCACTTTGAAGGCATATACATGTTTCACGTCACCTTCAAGAAAAATGCATATACATGGTTCACGTCACCTTCAAGAAAACAAACCAGCGCTATGAATATCTTGAGAAATATACAGCCCCGTGCACAAAGAACACACATGGTTCACGTCACCTACAATGAAGAAATCACGCTCTAGAATATATCGAGTTGAAACTTGTTACGGCCCACGCACTGAGAACGATACATGAACACACAGTGTTGTTCTTCTCGAGGCTGTTTTACGCACAGAGCTAGCTCCACGCACTTTGAAGGCATATGCATGTTTCACGTCACCTTCAAGATAAATACATAAACGTGCTTCACGTTGCCTTCAAGAAAAAATACCGCGCTCCAGAAAACGGTACAGAAAATTGTTTGGATTGGTTTACTGGTATTGGTATTTGTAAATCTTGGATCACCTTGCCAAACACCAAGAAGATGGTTATATCAGAGACATTGTATAATGTCCTTGGTTATATGAAGTTTGGGCGGGTCCACGAAGCTAGCAGAATGAATGTAAATACATGGTTCGCGTCACCTTCAAAACATTTTAGGAAGGGCTGTGCAGCTGGCACTGTGTGTACGTACATATGTCATTCACAGTACAAAGGGCCGCAAAACCAAAAGAATATCATCAAAGGGTTACAAATACCAATAAACCGAACTAAACCATTTTCAGGAGCGCGGTATTTCTTATTGAAGGCAACGCGAAGCACGTTTATGTATTTATCTTGAAGCTGACGTGAAACATGGTTCTGACCATCCTTGTTCGCGCCTGCCTGTTATTGATTAGTGTCGCTTGTCCCCTATGTGTGTGGGCCCGGGGACCGTTCATTATTTGTCGCTTGCCCCCTTTGTTTGTGGGCCCGGAGACTGTTCATTATTTGTCAACTAAAGAAGGCGTAATGGAAACCGACACCGTGAATACTGAAAATTCTATATTTCATAATGTCAATGGCCTCAACAGGGCTTTTTCGTTTCGATATCATGTTTTCTTATTGTGTAACAGTTAGGGGTTTATAGGCACGCCTCGCGACCGTGCAGTAAAAAGAAAGGCGAAAAACCAGTGGTCGCGTGGCAACTGGTATTGTAAGCAAACTTGACTGCAGGCAAGTGCTCATCCCAGTCCCGCTGGTTGGACGTAACCTGGTAACCAGACCGCCGTGAGCTCAGCGCTATCCCTTCGGAACAGAGAGCGTCTGGGCCCGCCAACCAGGCCTCAATTACCGCGCTTCGGGGGGGTTTAGGTTTCTTCGCTCACAACGAAGTCGGGGCAAAAGAAGACCAAGCGTAATACAGGAAGTCAGCGGATACAGGGAAACAGCTGGAGATAGGGCCGTGTGGCAAATGGTAAAGGCCGGGGCCGAAAAAATACCGCCAAGCCGACCAAAGGTTTGGTACCCAGGCTAGTTGGACGCCACGTAGGCGCGCAAGATGTTTCCCATTGTCTCATCGATATCGTGATCAGGATGAGGTCCCGACAACTTTTAAACTGGAGAGCTCAAATAAACCTCACTGACTTCGCTATGCAGAAAACGCCATGCAGACCACGAGACAAGTTATGGTGACTCCACGCAGTATAAATTCCTACACATGGTTTCCGTCACAAAATTAAGCATAGTGTATACAGTCAATCAATACACAAGGACAGCCTTGCCGTAACACTATCAAACACGATCATCCAAGATTTACAAATACCAATACCAGTAAACCAATCCAAACAATTTTCTGTACCGTTTTCTGGAGCGCGGTATTTTTCTTGAAGGCAACGTGAAGCACGTTTATGTATTTATCTTGAAGGTGACGTGAAACATGTATATGAGGTCAAAGTGCGTGGAGCTAGCTCTGTGCGTAAAACAGCCTCGAGAAGACCAGCACTGTGTGTACATGTATCGTTCTCAGTGCGTGGGGCTGTATAGAACACTACCAAACGCGATCATCTAAGATTTACAAATATCAATAAACCGATCTAACCATTTTCTGGAACGTGGTATTTTTCTTGAAGGCAACGTACGTGAAGCACGTTTATGTATTTATCTTGAAGGTGACGTGAAACATGTATATGCGTTCAAAGTGCGTGGAGCTAGCTCTGTGCGCAAAACAGCCTCGAGAAGAACAACACTGTGTGTACATGTATCGTTCTCAGTGCGTGGGGCCGTATAGAACACTACCAAACGCGATCATCCAAGATTTACAAATAACAATAAACCGATCTAACCATTTTCTGGAGCGTGGTATTTTTGAAGGCAACGGGAAGCACGGTTATGT